ATTTTTATCTTCAAACAATTTTAACTGTAAAAATGCAATTCAGCACTATCAATTTCTTAGAACAACCTATGAGAGTGTGAGAGAAATCACTATCCATAACGAACAAAGGATCAAAACGGGTAGTCATTTCTCAGGAAAACATGGTTCATTACATTCACACTCATGAGGCATTACCATGAAGTGAAAAAAAAAAAACTAAATTCGTATTAGAGGACAAAAGGTTTAATGTTGTTTCCTGTAATGCCCCCTCAACTGTTTTAACTCGTTCATATGACTGCAGTAATTTTTAAATTATCAACATCATAGCAAAGCAACCAAGAAACTACTTTTATAGATATAGAACTGTGAATGATCTGTTTTCTTACTTGTCAGAGGGGAAAAAAAATTTCTGCTCACATTCAAAGAAATTTTTTTTCCATGGGTAATAAAATGAGTTTACTTTAAAAGTATTTTAAGGTATTATATCCGTGTACAATTTGACGGCGGGGGCCGAAATAGCCTGGTCGGTAGGGTGCTGGGCCCATGTCCGAGAGTTCGCGGGTTCGAACCCCGCCGGCCGAAAACTCCCCGTGTAGTTGGTGACTGATGCACGTTAAAGTTCTGTCGACTCGCAAAGTCCTCCATGTTCCCATAACAAATCAATACCTCTCAGGTTACTGGATTGGAGATCGATCGTTCTCTGATTCGGTCAAAATTACGATCTGTGGATGAATGAATGAATGAATGGGTCCGCCTTATAAACAGGTGTGACGTATGATGCGGCAGAAGTCGAATTCTTGGCCATAGATGGCGCCACTGAAGAACAAGAATCGCACACTCTGCCTTAAATTTGCTCGGTTTCACCAAGCAGGCTTGCCCGAGTGGCAAGTGGCATTAGAACCAATCAACCAACAATTTGACGGGGTATTAAACATTTGTTCACGTTAAGAGAAATTCATTTTGAGCGTGTTCACGTTTACAAAGTTCGAAGATAGGTTGTGTATATACATAAAGGTTTGTTCTTTCATTTCATTTCTGTTCATTTTCAAAAAAGTACCTATAACGTTAGAATTAACATTTATTTACATTTAATTCGTTTTCAAAGGCCAGACTAACCGGTTAAAATTTTTCCCTTGGGTAATTAAATGAGTTCACTTCAAAAGCGTGTTCATGTTAAAAGTATTTTAAGGTATTATATTCATGTACAATTTGATGGGGAATCGAAAGTTAGTTCACGTTAAGGGAAATTCATGTTAAGCGTGTTCACGTTAACAAAGTTCGAAGATAGGTTGTATATATATGTTAAAAGTTTCTCACAAATTTCAAATTAAACTTGACATGTTAATTTTTTTAAGAAAAAGTACCTCTAACATTGGAATTATTATTTTGTATTTAATTCGTATTCAACGGCCAGACTCTAACCAGTCATTACATTTCTGTTAGTTAAATAATGCTATTTTTTTCCCACCGGGTTTTCACTTCCGGAGTTTTTTTCTTTCAAGTTTTCTTCCTGTTTTTTTTTATTTTCTTTAACTCCAGTGATGTCTAATATTAAGCAGATATTTTTTGACAGATCTATGGTTGATAGTTTAATTACTGATAATTATATCTGAATTAATTTTGGTTGATTACGTTGTTATATGCAAGCGCATGAAAAAGTGTTGCTCCACAATACGTATAAATACTAAATACTTCATAATGTATACAATATGATGTATTATTCTTTGAAGTATGTTCTGTAGGGTAAAATATTTGAAAGCATTCGAAATAAGACATTTAGTGATGTTAAATTTGTAAAAAAGGAAAAAAAAAACTATAGATCTTTTATTTGAGTCTTATTTTTTCGTTTCTTTCGAGAACAGGCGTTGTAGCTTAAAGAAAGATACTTTGCTAAAATAAGATTTTCTTTACTTTTCAACTGTTTCTTTATTAAACCTTTGAAAAGTTAGGCTTGAAGACTCGGTTGTGGGTGGAAGATAAACTTCTGTGAAACTAAAAGTGCAGAGAACTCTTTTAATCAAATTTGAAGATTTGGAAAAGACATTTTTATCAACTCCAGGAATAACCTTTATGTGGGTAAGTAAAAAAACTAGAATTTTTAACCTAATTATAAATAAATCGGTATAGGAATAAATTTAGTAGCAAGATTAGATTAGGGAAATGAAACGCTTGCAATGTAATTCGTATGGAAAAGTTTTGCGAGGTATAGTGCATAAATGTTGCATGTGCTTTCAATTTGTACTGCATCCCCTTATACTAGAAATAAATGAATTAGTTTTGAACGATAAATTTAGTTTTTAAAACCATTTAAGAATGAATGTATTATAGTTTCAAGAATAAATTTAGCGAGCGAAACTCAAATGAGCTTAATTTTTTTAAGGCACAGCTTTTAAATTTTGTATACTCTTAAATTTGTTCATTTTATGTTTACTAAATTAGGATGAAATTTTTTTTCTTCTTTTAAATAGGATTGGATGTTGAGTTTTGCAAAAGAGCAAGATCAGCGTTATTACACCACAATTGAACCATATTAAGGAGATTTTGCAAGGCGTTACGTTGTCCTTTAACTAAAGATGAGTTTCACAACGCGTGCACGAAAACTTCCTTGCGAATCGCAGCGTTAATAAAGGGTAAAAAATTAAGTTTGCATAAGAAAAACGCTTTGCGAAACCCCGTGTATTCTATTGTAACGGAATCCAGAAGTGTTTAAAATTAAGCCTGAAGGGGGGGGGGAATAGGCTGTAATATCGTGCAACATTTCATTCGTGAGTTTTTAAATCTGGAACACCCCTCGAATTTACGAAAATTGACAGTTAAAATCTAATGCTCCCAATACTTTTTTCTCTTAAAGTTCTTTTACTACTCTATACGTTGGCTATTTTTCTGAACTGCAGACCAACTTCAGTTTTTTCCCCCTCCCAATTTCATTACGATTGTGAATCCTTTAATATCACTTAAATAGCTTGTGGTAATAATGAGTACGGTTATACCTTATTTTTCAAGTAGACAGACTCGTTACCGAAAAGATTTTGTTTCTAGCATTATTTATAGTTAGGTAAGAGACTGCCTGGTCAGTTTCTTGCATCTGGATTTTAAAAAAAATTAAATTTTAAAAAATACCTTATGAAACAGTATTGAACCGCAAAAACTTGCAAAAATAAATAAAAAAGTAAAAATTTTTTATCAAGTGGATCTACGGAACGGTATCTTATTCGCAATTCTACTAAGTCAGGTCTTGAAGAAGTCAAAACTAAATTAGAAGTTTCTTACTACGAAACTAAATCATTCAGCTTAAAATAATTAATCTGTCATTTCAACTGAAACTAAAAAAATAAGGATTTTGATGTTTATTAATTATTGAAAACCATTAATACACATAAACAAAAATCTATATTTTCTTTTTGCGATACAATAAATTTCACATTTTTCCCAGTTGCAATAGAATTTGTTTAATCTTACTCTAAGTGTACAGAAAATTAGGATCGGACATGTGTAGTTTTATACATATAGTTAAGTGCCTTGAAAGAAATTGCATTTCTTATTATCAAATGAAAGCTTATGGCATTTTTCCTACTCTTGAAAATCATTAGTGGTGTGGTATTGATATCGCATATGAATATTTATTTGCAACATAAACATACCTTATTGCATATAACCTTGGCAAACTAATATACATATGTTAAATATTTGGCAATCAATATTGCTACGTTAATTCAAGATGGTGTATCTTAGTTAAATTAATAATTTTTAATTAAGAATAATTGAATTGATTCAGCTAAAAATTATTAATTTAACAAAGATACACCATCTTGAATTAACGTAATGATATTGATTGCCAAATATTTAACATATGTATATTAATTTGCGAAGGTTACATATAATGACGTATTTTTATGTTATAAATAAATATTCATATGTAGTATCAATACAAGGGGTCTAATTCACTTTTGTTTGTAGATTTAGTATGTTTTAAATAACAGTAGCGTACTTAAATTTCCAATAAGTTTATTGTTAATCTCATTAAAAGAAATTCTTTTAAAGCAGTTTTATATTTTCAATATGGCACTGATTTTGTACGCTTATTTTAAAATATTGTTTCTTTTTAAAGAAATATAAAGTCAAAAACTAAAAGAAGTTATATACTGGCCGGAGACATTTTTCCGCATGTCTATTTTTGCATAGTTATGATGACCACGATATATTGTGGATTAGTACAGCAACGCTTCCTAATTGTTTTCAGCTATATAGAACCCTAAATGATGAACTTCTTTCGGTGGAACCCAAACTTTATAAATACATAAACGTATTAAACAATAGTGTATTTTTTTAAGATTATTAAGACTAATGGATTTTTGAATGGGTTTTATCATTTATAATCTTTCATTAGATTTTAAATCCAACAGTTACAATTGAACTCCTGGAGCTTTGTCTAGATTAGTACTGAATTTGCTTTTAGTGTATATACAAACTGAAAACTAATTAAATAACCCGAATTATGGTTTTCTTTGAAATGAAAACATCAAAGAATTGTTATAAATGTTGAAAAATGGTTATTAGGGAAATATATTTCTGTATGAGAAAATTTAGTAATTTAATTTGATTTGAAAATTCCGGTGGGAAATACGTATACAATTTATTTTTAAACACATGTCTTTTTAAATTTATTTAATAAACTTTTATTAAAAAATTATGTCTCTTTTTTTAAACAGTGTCATTTCTATATTATTGGCATTTCAGTTAGAGTAATTTCACAAAGGCAACCGAAATATTAAATGTTTCATTGATTGAATTTAAATGCAATTAAAAGTTAAAATCATGGTGGGTTAAAAAAAAAACAACTATGGGAACCCCATAGCTATTCCACCAAACCTTAGGGTTCCGAGGAACACCATTTGGGAATAGCTGAAGTAGAGTAATAACTGATATTGAATTCTTTAGAAAAAATTGTGACCACCTTCCACGTTTTAGCCCAAAACCATCAAGATAAAAATATGTAAGAGAATATAAGAGGCAAAATAGACAAATAGCAAAATATAAAATTTATTTTGCTCAAGAAATTTGGGTACAGAGGTATACAATTTCACTAGTTAAAAGTACAATAAACATGCTGTTTTAAAAATCTTATAAAACCAATACGCATATAAAACTATCGCCCTGACAAGGGCTTGTCTTTTCAGTCCTTGTGATGTCCTATTAAAAAAAAAAGACAATGTCAAACTGATTGTTCAAAAATCAGAAGTAAAATTAGCATAATACTACTACATAAAGCAGATACTACATAAACCAGTGGAGTACTCATTAATTTTAAGTAATTAAAAACTACGCTTAATGCTTTTTCCTCAATTCATTATGGAAACAAATTATCGCTATTTTATAAATTTATGAATCAGAATTATTTGCTATTATTTTCCAGTGAAAAAAATATTAGGCAGATATTTAATTGAATCACTTATTAAAAATATTTCTTCAGCATTTGTATTTTAAATTATAAGCATGTAAAGAAATTTATATTAAATTATGATATAATAAAAGCAATAACAAAGTTTAATTAACTTCTTTTGTGTCTGTTAAGATGAAATCTCAGTTAAAATTAGTTTCTTTTTGATAAACTAGAGGACTCAAATCTACCGAAGCTCCGTGGCTGGAGAAAATGCAATTTCAATAAATTCCTCACCGCTGCAAACAGAATTTATTACGATACATCATCGCCAAATTAAATTTATCTTGAGTCAAAATTTCAACAATTTTCAGACTAGCTAGACTAATTAAATTGAAGTTCTTTGTTGGATGCGAATACAAGTTGAAGTAATTTCCTGTCCGCTACAAGTAGAATTTATCATATTATAACCAAAGAGTTTATTGTAAATCGAAATTTCCAGCACATTCTGACAGGTTAGAGTATTTAAATCCAAACTGAATTCTATTTTATAGTCCTCAATTCTACGATAAATTAATGTTAATTCTACAAATAGAAATATTGTTAATTTTTCGTGGAATTTCTCTCGAATGAAATTTATTGACAATCGAAAAATCGACCATTTTGACCAGCTGGAGATCTCAAATCTCACATGGATTTCTGCGACTATGACAATGTAACTTATTAACAAAATAAGTTACACTTTTCGAAATGGTGCAATCAAAATTTTTCAATTTTGTCACCAATCCAAATTTTGCCAGCAGACAAAACTGAAATAAACAGCTAAACTAAAGTGAAAATAAAATTATATATAAAAAAAAAATAATTATTTTAACGTAAACTAAAAAGGAGAAAATAGTTATATTTTGCTAGGCCTTAGATGTAAAATACAGACTTATGATCACTATTAACCCCTTTGTTTTCAGAAGTTATGAACTCTACTTGTTCTGTTTTAAGAATGACGATTTTCTCCCTTTTAGAGTACTTGGAAAATAGACTAAAATTTTATTTTATGTAAATTGTTAGTATAAATTATGTAAAGATATTTTGTTTGGTTTATTGTGTGCAAAAATTACAAATTCGAGAGTTTGAGTTAGGTTTTAATTTAATTCTTGTTTCAACATAATTTGTGCAATAAAAAATGAAATAAAAAACTTTTAAATAGGCTAATTTATTACAAAATAAAGGAACAGAAAAAGTGCTTGTAAAAGTATGGAAGGGAAAGTGATGATTTTTTCAAGTTATTTTAAAGTCGTTCAGAATAAATTTATGATTATCTTTAAAACGGACTGAAAATTGGACAAAATGCTGTTCTGTAAAAAATGTCATACGTAAATGATAAAAACGGAGATACGATCAAATCTAATGTAAATGATCATTTTACGGATAATGTTAAAATGATTGTGGGGTGATATCCCTAAGGAAAGTGATTTGATCAAATCCCTTAATAGTTTATGTGAAGAGACGCAATAAACGAATAGGATGAAAATTACAAACAATGAATAAACATAAGGATTTTTATTTACCCTTTAATTTAAAATAGCTTGATAATTTTTTTTTTATTTTTTTTATTTTTTTTAAACGAACATTGATGAATTGCAATGATTCACATAATTTGAAATCTTTAATTCATAAATTTTAATAACGTTATAAAAGATTAATAAAAATATTAGCGTATTGAATGCGGGTATTGACAATAATTGCTGTTTATTATTTTTAATAATCGGATTAATCAAATTGGCTCTATTGTCCGGTTTATTCTACACTCGGATTACGAATACATATTATATCTTAGGAGTAATTTGATTTCCTATTTATGAATACACATTTTAAATTTTTTTTTGTAACTAACAAAAAAAACATTAAAAAAAATTAGAAAAGAGGACTAAATGCAGAGATAAATAGCATAAAAACTATTTTAAATTGAAAACTTAAAGTTAAGTTACTGGAACATAGAATATTTAAGAAAAAAAAATCTAGTTTAAAAAAATGAGTTAGTTGCAGTTTAATTTATACAACTAAAATAAACTTAAGATTTTCAATTTTTAATAAATGTTAGTAATAAAATATTGCTACTAGTAATTTAAGGCTGAAAATGTTAAGCTAATAACATTTTACACGTTAACGTTTTGGAAATATGAAAAATATATGTCCAATTAATAGCTTGAAAAAATTTATACAAATTTATGTTGGACTAAATTTTAAATTTCAGTTTCGTCACGAGGTTTTCTGAAACTAGATAAATGGTTTATTTTACAAATAACTAAAACTAAATTTGATGATAAGCATGCATACACTTTGAATAAATAAAATTTTACGAACTGAAAACTTCATTGTTTAAGAGGCTGACTACATCTAGGATTGCTTGTGGTAACCAGTTTAATAAGCAGAACAATAAGATTTAAAAATAAATGTAAAAATACACTGGTATTAACTACGACGTCAGTTTAATTTTTAATACGATTAAAAGATGGCAGCATGAGCGTAGTTGCAAGCCTAATCAATGAGGAATTCAGATTCTAACTATTAAAAAAGTATTTCTTCAGAGATATGATTTAAAAAAAAAAAAAAGCTATTCTAACTTCTGCCATAATTTTTTCAAATATTATTTGATGCTTAAGATATATCACGATAATTTATTTTCTTTACTCATAAATTTGATCCTAACAATTTAATTCATTTTAATTCAGAGATCAGACTCATAAGATACTTCATGAAATACGGTCAAAATATTGCGAAAAATGAAGATGCTGATCTTAAAAGCATTTAATTGACCAATAATTTTACTTTTCATGAAATAAAAAAGTTTTTATTTCGAAACTTTAAAATACAGATTGCGGGATATAGATGGCGCCATTAGAGCTGACTTTTTCTACTATCCTTAAATCAATCGCTATAATAAAAAGTCAAATTTAATATCAAAATTTTTAGTTTCAACTGAAGAGAAAGAATTAGAAAATAAATAGGAAAATAAAACAAGCTATGCGAAATTATAAAATGCTAATTATTTATTTGAATATTAAAATTTATTTTTGAAAATGCAATAAGACTAATAAAAATCTAGCTTTATTTAGAAATTCAAACTTTTTTTAAAATCTGTAATAAAGAAAAAGATTCCCGTTCTGATAAATTTAATTCTACTACAATATATTTGAGCCTTTTTTTTAACACCATTAAATAAATAATTCTAAGAAACTGAATCGGTAAGAGAGTACCTGATTAAAAACTTGATTCATTTCAAAAATTCATTTTTCTTTATTCATTCTTTATTTGCTATTTACTTTTTAGTTTTAGTTTTAATCAGGTATTTATTTAATCAGGTATTAAAAGTGTATTTTGCTATTTATTTTTAATCAGGTAAGACAATGAATAGATTAGTGATATAGTTTTCAATGCATATTTTTAGACTAAGTATTGTTTGTAAGTAGTCTGTTTTTAATTTATTCTCATTACAGAAAAAAGAAAAATTAAAAAAGAAAAATGATTTTTTAAGACTATAATTATATTTATTTGCAAGACAGTAGCATTTTTCGACGACTTTTAACTTCATCCTGACAGGGGGGAAACTATGACCTACAGAGGGATAATTGCCCCTGGTGCCACCCTTGAAAATTTAGGGAAAAAATCCATCATGTGTCCTCTAAAGAAAGTAAGTCAGCTTTACGATAAGATAAACACCCAGAAAAAGTTTTTGTAGAAATATGTAATTCAAGTTTAGATTTTCCTTTGCCATGAAGGAGAAAGAAGTGCTAAACTGATTTATTCGCAGTTTCATTATTTTCTTATAATAGCGAAAAATAGGGAAATAAATTGTTGGAAAAGAACAAAACAAAAAATTAGTTTCTTGTAGTTTATGGAATAAGAGCCGAAGTACGCTTAACTGCTGTAACATTCGCTGTTGCGCACTTGAAGTAAGCAGATCAGTGTTTTAAACGAAATCTATCCCCAAACAGAAAAGATTAAAAATTAGAGTTGCGGAACATGCATATATAGGAAAGAAAAAGGAATTTACTTTCGTAAATCAATTAAAACACTGCATTTATAGGATGCTGTTGTTGAAAATCGAAAGTCACGAGTTTGATTACCATTGAAAATATCCATTGTAATTATCAATTCTTTTGATTCATTTAACAGTGAGCTAACTGTATAGCTAGATTGCATAGTATTACTATTATTCACTAGTATTACACTAAATAAGATAAATTATTTCACCTTTGCAGTAAAAAATAAGGATATCAATTGTCCGGGTGCATAGAGTCCATAAAAAAAGTTAGCGATATTTCCTAACAAATCAGTCAAATTTCTTTTTATTAGTTTTCACTCAAAAATTAAATTAGATACTTCCGATATTATGACTAGATAGTTATTTGGAAGATGCCGCGATAACAAATTAATCTTAAAATCTTATTTTCTTAAATTTACCACAACTAACTTTAAGGACTGTATGAACCCTGGAAGTTTTAGTGGAAATAAGATTTACCTTTATTAGTGCTTAAGAAATGCTGCTTCCAACAACCCAAGATCAGTTTCTGCTTTTGTCTTGATGTATCTATTTTAAGACAGTCTTTGTAAGAACACTTCTGTGCCATCATGGCAACCAAGACAAATTGTTCAAATTGAAAGATTGATAACTTAATCTGTAAAAATAAGGGTTTAATGATCGGAAATTACTACAGAATTAACTTTTTAAATATTCAATTTATTGCTCCATATATCTCTATAAATTATTTTTAAAACTAGTATTCTAAGTATTATCTGGAATCTAGAACTCTGGATACATTTACAGAGCAATAGTAAGATTTCTGATATCTTGTACTGAGAATTCTGAAGATTACTAATAATTCAAGGGAGTTATAAATTGCTCTATTTGATTTTAGAGAACAGCATCGAAAACTTAGTATTTTATTCCTTATTTTTACACAATACTTTTAAGATAAAAACAAAATTACTAGCTGAAGCTGGTATTTGTTACAACGAAAGTCCAGAAGAATTTTAACTTTTTGGGACTGTTCTTAAATACTTATGCAAAATAAAGAGGTTTCTTTTTCCATACATGTTTTGCATATGCATCAAAAGTTTTTTTTGGAATTTCAGAGAGATGTCTCATTTGAGGAAATAAGAGTTACAGCCCTGGCATCTATATTTTAGAGTTCATGACAATGTCAAGTCACATTTTCAAATTGTTTAATAGACAGTTTAAGAGTTTTTGATAAAAGAGAAAAAAAAAAACAAACGAGATTTTCAAGCAGACAATAAGATGCTTCAGTGTAATGTATTAATCCTTTCAGGCAGCATTTAGCAAACACATTTTTCCTACTTTTTCTGTTATTTTGTATTAATTTAAGTCAAAATAAGTGAAATATATTTAACATTTTAATAATTTATAACTAAGAAATACAGCACAAAACACTAGATGTTTTTTCAGTATTAAAGGTAAATTCTTCCGAACAAAACTCACTTCCGCACAATTTTTCAAATTTGCACTTATTTGAACCTAAGAAATAGTTATTGAAATTTCCTTAATTTAAAAAAAAAAAAAAAAAATTCTTTAATATAAATGAAAAACAAATTTCAATACTTTTTCGAATTTTACATTTTAGTACAATTCTGATAATCTAATAGATTTTTTTAAATAACTATTAGACTGCTTGTTTAGTTAACAAATACTATTTTACTTGTAATTAGAACGTCAGAAATATGACATCAAAAGGGACACTGGTGTCCCAGTGTCAAAGGGTTAATCTAGTGCTAGTGGAAGTTCTAGAAAATTATAAGTATCCGCCTGGAAGCATCAATAAGCAGTAGGATATAATACTTTTGGCAAAAATTTGACTTGTTACAATATTTATCCAAGCTATTCAATCACAAAATTTTAGTTCCGGTAAAAGTCTGATCTAATCAATCTTGAAGGCTAACTACATAAGATACCGATTTAAATCTAAACTTCGAAGAAGCAGATTCATTTAATATTTAATAAAAATAAACGATTTATTGATATCAAATAAAGTTCACTACCACAAATAAGTCACATGAACTAGTTTAAAGGGGGCGACATTGTATTAACTTGGGGGCAAAATTAAATTTCATAACGCGGAAGAATATTTTTAGGTCAAACGGCAGATGAGTTCCCCGGGCAACTTTCTCATTTTATTAAAGATCAAAGAATAACAACGCGAATGAGGACGGATGAGAAAGAACCGGTTATTGTCGCCATTCATTATTTTAAAACTTCTTTGATGAGAAAGCAAAGCTCATCTAAAGAGTTTCTATTTTTAATCCTGTCTGTAAAATATAAATTAAAAACTTTTATACTAATATTTGTTAACAGTTGTTCATAAAAACATTAGCAGTAGAAAATGAAATAGCAATAGATTTTACTTACGTAAAGTTTGTCTCGTATAGTAATTGCAGTTTCTCTTCAAAAACATTTCAACTAACAGATCGTTTACATCTGAAGTCATGAACTGAAACAGAAGTTAAAATTTATATGCAGACAAGCAACTGGATTCAATAATTTTCAGACAACCGTTTTCTTTTCTCTATAAAAAATATATTCGCATCTAATATTCGTATCCAAAATCAGTAACAGTTAGATTAGATAAGAAGTTCCAAAACTTTGTACACTTTGAAAAACAGAAAGTTTTCTATATCCACTTTCAAAAATATTTCTTATTCACTTTTGAATTACTTAATATCTTTATGATTACACGTGGTGTTAAGTTCTAGAAAATTCCTACTGACCAATGCATTTGACTTTCTATACAAACAAGTTCTTGCGTAAATATAATATTCCTTCAATATATACTTTTAGACTTCATTTTTAAGGCAGTCAAAAAATTACACATTAATGGTTTTATAATTAGTAGAGGGGAAAAACACAATATAAATTTGAGGCACAAATCTAGTTTACTTAGTTTCGATAATCAGCAACAGGAACAATATTACAATTGAAATACTAAGGAGAGTTACTACAGCAAATAGATATTTTAATGGCATTCGAAAATGCATAAAATGCAATGTAATTCCTAGAAAAACTAAGTTTTATTATACAAATATTTATTATACAATATCAATTTTAACATACGCTTCTGAAACCATGATCATATCTTGTACGGATGAGGCTATGTTGGGTACCTTTGAAAGATTTTGAAGTATTTTTCGAGAAATTTAAAGAAAAAAAAATGACGCGTGGCTTAGAACAAATTTAGAGTTTTATCATTCATATAATGAACCTGACATTAACTTAAACGACAAATGAAATGGGCAGGCCACGTAATCAGAATGGATGAAGACCGTACCACAAAGAGTTCAATGCTAGACCAGTTGTTAGCACACGAAAAAAAGGCAGGCCGAATTTGAGATGGCCTGGAAAAAGACCTTTTGGTCTTAAAAACTAAAAACTGGAAAACGCTAGCAGGAAAAGGTTAGTCTGGAAAAAAAACTTAAGACCAAGGCCCCCCTTGGGCTGTCGAGCCATTTATGATGAAAAACAAGCTTCATTTCCAGATTCATAGAAAGGCATGAACGAAACTATCAAAGCCTATTTGATTGCCGGAGGAAATAGGAATTGAAAGCATATTATTAGAAACACTAGGTTTCAGTCAAACACGTTTGGATATTTCTTATCTACCCTTTCATTAGTGATTATACATATTTCGATGACTTTATTAGTAGCTTGCTTAAATATTAGTTTGAGACTCATGTGTGTCCTGGCATTTTCGACCAGGTTTCTAAAACTGTATATTAAAGGCATTGATCTCTGAACATATTGCATTTTGCTTATCGATACTTGAACACGAGATCTAAGAACAATGCTATCTGTGAAATCGACTGAAGCTTACTGTTCATAAGACACGGGTAGAGGGCCTTCGATTAAAAAGTTTAAGCTATTACTTCCTTGAAAGACATGTCTTAAATACTTTAAGGAAAGAAAATAATTTCTTCGTCCTGAGAGTTTCCTAAAAATGTAAGATCGAATAAGCCTCCTCTTACATTGAAATTCGAATACATAGTGCTTTATTAAAACAAAGAATTTCATTCAATTCAAACGCAAAATTTAAAATTTATTAAGACGGAAAAATTTCCAGGTTTCTAATAAGTGTTAAAATCTTGAGTAGAGCAGTGAACGTTTAAAGCTTGTAGTAGTTCAATGTGAGTATCGATTTCACTATAAAATATGTTCAATACTAGTTTACCAAATAAATCGCTACTTTAATTAACATGTTATGTATACAGTATTAAGAATGTATACGAGTTTTTGTCACAAAGCAAAATTAATAGTTTTAAAATGCACTCAAATAATCTCAGCAAGTTATTACTGTTCCCTCAGACAGATTACAACAGACATTTAAAAATTAATTTGGTAGTAAGGGTTCTCATCACGGCTTTATAAATCCTTAAAAATATTTAAAATTTCACCAACAATATCTAGTGTCGTTAACTTTGAATAAACTGTTTAAACTTATCAATCTGAAGACTGCACCCGAAATTAACAAATTAAAACCCACTGGATTATTCAAAACTAAATCCCAATGAGGCTCCAAACTTGCAAATCTTAAGAATCTGGACAATTCTCAAAACAAAAGGAATTACCACTCCAAACGTAAATATTCAGCACTCTAAATAGAGACATTACATGGGGCATATATGTATGAATGAAATAAGTAGTGTGACAGGGAAAAAAAAAAGATTAATATTCTTGTGGGGTCATGGTATCCATGTTATCTTGAAAGAACCTTAAGGTCTGGTTTCTTAGGACAAGCGCCTTATCTGGGTGTCAGCGGGACGTTGACGTAAAGCTGACGCCAAAAAAATACTTTTTTGTTAGCTCAGCCTGAGCAGTCGGTCCAACGCAGACATTATCTCNCCTTATCTGGGCGTCAGCGGAAAGTTGACGTAAAGCTGACGCCAAAAAAATACTTTTTGTTAGCTCAGCCTGAGCAGTCGGTCCAACGCAGACATTATCTCTCCATGCGCATGCGTTCATAACGTAAACAAATATTTATTTTGAATTTGTATTGATTTTGTTATTGTCGACCAGTGTTTTAGAGAACAAATAATGACTTTGTCCAAGAAAAAACACATTATAGCTGAGCTAAATGAAGAGTGCTATGTTTAATGAAAAAGCTATGTTTATTGTCAAAATCTTGGCTGATTTCAATGTGCTGTTGGATGTTGTCCGCGATTTCTTCTGTGGTTAACGTTACGTTGTAATCCAACTGCAGTTGAGTTGGACGGCAATTGTAGTTCAAGATGAGCGTTCGATGACGTATACTATCAAACTCACAAATGGACCAATCAGAGGTTAGCGCTGATTTCCAGCTGACGGCGTCCTGTCCTAAGAAACCAGGCCTTTACCGACTTTATATGATTTAGTTTTGGTTTGCACAATGTCTGCATAAAATTTTGCACATAGTTTCTGCACGGTACTCAAAATATCAAATTAAAATAGGCATTCTAAATAAAATGTTTGGCAACTTGAAAATACAAATTTCTACAGAAGTTGCTTTACAGATTCGATAAGACAGAACTATTAATTAAAAGTCAAACGGCTTAAATAATATCTAATTTTAAATGACGTTTAAGATTTGGAAGTAACCTTGTTTCCTTACTATGTTGCCACAAACGAACATTCTTAACAAGTTATCAAATTGAGGCTTGCACAAGACCCGGAAAACCATATATTTAGTCAAATATAAATATTACGTTCTTTACATTGAGTATGCTCACAAATCGATGGCTATAATGGTCCTAAATGACGCTATAAGCCATGATTGACCAAAAATAAGAGAAAACAAGGAAAATTTAAGGGTGACATGGTCATGACCTTCATGACTATATAATAAACTAAGAGGTCTTTTATAAAGTTAGATGTAGCTGAATTATCATGCAATCAATAAATATAATACGCTATCTATATGCATTTATATATCTTTTATAATAATTGGATTAAGGTCTTAAATCAGTTTAATGCATAAACGATAAAGCAGACTAGGAGAACTATTATGTTGGTCGTAAGTCTGGGTTTACAAATCTGTCGCAGAGTCACTGAAAATCGAAGCTAGAGCCCAGTATTTTAGTTTAATTTAAGTTATTAATATGCTGGCTCCAAAAAGTTGGTATTAGAAATTTTTTAGATCCTTCGTAGTAAAAATAGTCAAGAGTATTAACCCTGAAATACTTTGACTTTCTGCACGTGACTAAGTATAAAAAGCGTGAAAACAGTAAGCTACTTTTTTTACGTGACCCGTGAAAAAATCTGCCCTTGAATACTGACACTTTCTGAAATACATCGAGCACATCAGAGTAAACACTCTACTCGCATGTCACCCTATTTTGATGAAATCGAAGCAAACTTGACTCACGCGCAATTGCGAGAAAGGTATTTCCATAATAAAATACTCAATTGCTTAGAGTAATTTAAAGATTTCCTTTTAAAACTAACTAAAACAGCCCTTCGTCATTTTGATTTGAAAAGCAAATTTCACACACTGCTAACACTATCGCTAAGGTTAATTCAAATCATTTTTTTAGTGATATACATACTTTAAATGCATTAAATTAGAAACCTTATATAAAATATTATAAATACACAAAATCTTACCTCGTTTATGAGGAAGAGGAATTTTAGTATTTGTTTCTACACATTCTGGTAAAGGCTGCCAAAGACTATCTTCGCTATTCACAAATTTCCACATCGAGTCCTTTTCACAGATCTCGTCAAATATATCATCTTCCGAAGACGATCGGGATACAAATCCACTGTCTGAATCATCCCAAGATCCGCTTCCATAATATGACTTGGAATTTACGGCGTCCTTTTGAAGAAAAGTGAACTTTTCTTTTGATGTGATCAAGTTCGAAGCATAAGCAGTTACTCCAATGTCAACATTTGTTTTATAGTAATAGGGATCCCAATCACCCATTTTATTACCACAGAATTTTGGAGCAGACTTCAACATCATGTTTATCGGCTCTGTTTTCTTTTTTGAATACAGCTGTTCTGAGGAAACCAAATCAACCAAATCTTTAAATCTCGGATTTTCTGATAAGTCGGAAGGTATTTTTACTGAATCTTCAACGCCATTTCCTTTCTTTACTGAATCGCACCATATACTGCAAGGAGGGTCACAGACCTCTTTCTCTTCATCCACAACGAAAGGGGTTATGAATTTGTCTGTCGTAGGAGTTAAGCTCTTCCGAATCATTTCTTTAACTTCAGAAGACACGTCTAAATATTAAAAGAAAAAAATTACAATTTGAAAAGGTCTTAGCAACGATACAAATTTTAAAAAATCATAAATGGAATAAATAGTGTAAAATTCAAATTATTTTTACGTACAGTAAAAAAATTCGAAAAAATTACTAGTGGGACCTTGTTTCAAACAAACTATTTTAGAAGGTTGAATATTGTGTGCAACTTGTTTCTTGAAAGTAAAGTTAAAATCTTGCCAATCTTATTTTATTAATAATTAAACTAATAACGTAGAGTTGTGACGTCACTTCGCTCCAACTTTAGCAGTGACTTAGAATTTCACTTAATTTTGTGATTTGTTTATTTTTCATTGAAGCATAGGCAAGTCGAAAACTGATCTAATGAGAAACTGAAGCACGAATTACAATTTTACACCGGAACAGTATGATATTTAAGGGAAATTTTTAAGATTAGTTCGTTTTTTTTACGATTGTTTCGTTGTTTATAAATTAGCTCATTCTACAATGGAGAAATAAATCTAGCAATAATTTAAGTATTTTCAGAATTCTCAAAGAATTTCAAACTCATCTAAGTTTCCTTAACGGGGGAATTTTATATGAACGCATTGTTTCTTTTAAATTTCTAAATTTCAACTAAACACAGAAGTATTTGTTTCATTAAAGTTTGAATGATTCAATTTTCCAATTCAAAGAACAACGATACCAAATTGAATGAAGCGAAAAGTTGGAAATTCATTTAAGGGTATAAACTTATATATTCTTTAAAATTTATCAGCTTACTAACTTCGGTAGTTGAAAGTATTCGAGGTAACAGTCAAGTAAACTTAAATATGAATATTCCATATAGAGAAATTTAATAAAGATCACTTTCATTCTTTTTTCATAACAGTCGTTGAACACCCGACCTAAATTTGAACTTACGACTACCAATGTTCAACTCCGTAGCCTTGTAATTTTTAACCTAATCCAGAAGACAAGGAAACTCCTGGATAATGTATTGGGAAAAATTTGCCTTCGTGAAGAACTTTGAGGAAACTTACACGCATTTAACGAAAACGACGAAGATTTGCACTGTTAGCTTGACGGCAAGGGAACTAAACCATGATCCATCTATCACTAAGAACATCTTACGTCAGCACTGTGGTTGGTGCTAGCCGGGTGCGGAATTCGAACCAACCAGCTATTGCCGGGATTCGAACCTGGCTCACCTCATTGGGAGGCGAGCACCATCACTGAGCCAACACGTCTCGATCACTTTCATTGCATAGATTTGAGTCCTTAAACGCACAAGGTTGACGCATTTCAAGGAACTATCAGAGAAATATTTCAGAATACAAAGTTGTAGGAGCATTTTCCCACCAAATAGTTCCGAGATTTGGATATTTCTTTAAAAGCTTATTGACTATCCATCCTATTAAACTTTTCTATAATAAAACGAATTTTCAGTTGAAGCAATTCTCATGCTTTATTAAAAAAAAAGTTATGTAAAATTAAAAACTCTTTCATCGCAAACCAAATGCTTTACCTCAAAGATTTACAGCAAATAGATTTATCCTTTAGCAAAAATCGCAATGAAAAATGTAATTAATATATAGCAGCGTTGTTATGCCACCAAAAAAGAAATAAAAAGAATTCTCAAAGCTAGTGTTGCTACTTAACATCTGCTTATTAAATACTCACAATAACTAGCTAGAAAATTTTTACAGGAGATTTATAAAATTACTTATCAGTATTAATTTACGACAAGAGTGACATCCCAAGTCAAAATTCTTGATGGTCCCATCAAAAAACTGATAGTTTATGTTGTTTCAGTGCGATCCAACATCATTTGATTGTCACCATCATCCAACATTTTCCATTACGTGTTCCTGATTTTTGATATGCCAACAAACTTTCATCATTCCATGATAGAAAATGCTATTTTAATACCATGATGGTTAACCAACAAGAGAAGTTTGACTCTCATGGACCAACAATCCATGATGATCCGTGATGGTTCAAACTATTCATTTCTATGATGGTTTAATGGGAATTCTTGTTGGTTCTTTGGAATATACCATCAATTTCGGTTCAACAGAATTGTTAAAAACCAATTAAACAGAACAATTTCGGTTTTTTATGTTGGATCATAATAAATCAATCCGAATTCCTACATTGGGATGGTGGTTGTTCATGATCGTCCCAACATTTGATTTCTAAGATACTGTGATGGAAATTCGTTATGGTTCAACATGAACAAACCTTCCAAAACAAGTTTCTATTCTTTCGTTGGACTATCATAATTCAGTCTGAATTCCTACAATTAGGTGATGGTTACTTATGTTGGTTACCATCAAAAAATATAATGGTTCATGATGGAATTGATGGTTACCATCAAGATTAGGTTGGTCAATCAATGAAAAACAATCAAAAATTTTGAATTTGGATTGAACAGATAGTCAAGCAAGACTTGAAACAAAAACTGCATTAAGATTACCTTGTTCCTGGCTCATTTCTGTGACTACCAAAAGGGGGTGGTCATCGTCATCAAACAAAGTTTCCCTGTTCTGTTGAGAGAATGGAACATGCGAGACCTGAAAAATTATAAATTTAAACTACAATTTAAACATATTGAGGCATTTAATTTTCAGGATTTCACAAATATGCCTTATTATCTAAAAAAGTATAAGCACTGGCCAGACTGTTCATAACCAAAATAATTTGAGAGACTAGTTTCTTTACAAAAAATAATCAAATTGAAAGATTTTAAAATTTTTACGAACGTTTCGATTTTTTTTCAAATTATATAAACCTTGCATGCCTAAAAATAAATATTTTTTTTTTAGTTTAGAAAAGTAGTTTTCCCAGATTACTTTGTGTTGGAAGGTTTATGGGTAACTACCAGAGACTTCATACAATAGGCAGTTAAATTTTGTTAATAAAATTGGTTTGGTAAATTTTACAATTTAAGTTACCTTGCGTTGAGCTTAAAAATTATCACAACGTTTTCTCAAGGGGAAATAAGAAATAAGACACCGTTGAAAGAAGGAATTTAATGCATTTTGTAATCAATTGCGTCTAAAAACTATTTCCAACATAAGTAAAGAATTTAAGTTATTTTGTAATACACTTGCGTACTTTTCAGCTCTTTTTGGAAGAAAAAAAAATACAGCACTCATTGTAATCAATGCATCACTGATATTGCATTGTAACCAATGCGATGTCAAGCTAGATCATACTTTTTGAATTATTGCCGACATAAAAGCAAAATTAGGAAATTTTTGCTAATCTAAATGAATCTTATTTTTGGTCATTATCCCTGCATATAATCATGTATACCAAAATTTATATTCTCTTAACATAAATTTTTATTTTAATATCACTACTAAGAGAGTCAAATTTATCTAAATTTTATTTCATTAAAATATCACTTAATCTGTTATAGTTTTCTTAATTTTAAAAACAGAAATGAATTTAAAGGTATTTGACGTTATCAAGGGTAACTTAAGCCGCCTCCAGGGTGATTTAAATCACTTTGGTAGGTTGAATTTAGGACACTGATTTCAGCAACATTGTTTCGAGTATGATAGTTAATTTAATCCTGCCACAAGTTAGTGAAGTTTCGGATCACGTGCCTTAAAGACAAGCTTACGAGTCCTTATACTTAAAATTATTTCATTAAGCCAACTTTAATTACCAGGCTTTAAATTTTCAGTTCTAATTTCTGCAAACGACTTCAATCCATTTATGGTTAGTTTAGTTTGATTAATTTATTATATTTCCATTTTTTTCAAAGTTTTAATAGGGTACTTTAATAAGTAATGAATTTGATTTCGCAAATAGATAAGAAAACCATCTATTTTCTGTAACCTAATAAACGTAATTTATTAAAATTCTAAAAATTTAACATGCTAAGTAAGGCTATAAAGGGCATGTGTATCCTTTAATAACGATACATTAACATTTTATTAATTTTTTAAAACCTAAATAAGGCAAACTTACTTTTGAAGGGCTATCATCCCAAAATGAATTGTAAAAATCAACTTCATCCACTTCCTGGTCCTCGATTCCACTATCCGTATCTTCTTCACACTTTATGAGTATGCTGCAAATTCCCGATACAATAGTTTCAAATTGGTTTGTAAGAGTATCTACATCAGCTACGTTACTTGTATCCACTATTATATCTTCAAACGGCTGTTCATCCACAAATCCATGATGCCAATTATTGGTCAAAAGGAACTCATTGCCGTTAGTACTTTCAGGATAGTGATTAAGATGTATCTCTTTTTCTGAGCACGAATACTTGTAGAAAGACACACCAAAGAAGTCTGATGGGATTGAATATCCAAATATAGGCGGGCATTTGCATACTTTTGAAACGCAAGATTGATTCCACAACTTGTAATCCGATGCATCTACTGACCATACTTTATCTTTCAAGGCATCAGGACGATTTGTTAGAGATAATAGCGGTCGTTGCGCTTGCTCATGTCTATACAAACCCCAAAAAGCAACCAACAAAAATGGTAGGTTAGGTGTTTCAAAAGATTCAGGTTTCGTGCGTTTCATGCTAAGCTTTGATCTAATCTTGCAAAGATCTGATATCGGTCTTACAGAAGGGACCTTTGTGAGTTTCTTGTTAATGTAAATCTGGATTTTTACTTTGTCAGAATGAGCCAGTTCTTTGAAGCCTATGGAAATAAAATGTCCCACGAGTTTCGCCAATTCTTCATTTGTTACTGTTGTTTCACCATTTGCTTTCTTTTTCTCCCATAGTTCTGTAATAGACTTTGCAGCCATTTCTCTTATGACTTCCGTTTTTCGATTTGGTATGAAAGAAGTGGCATATGGGTTTAATCTGCTCTCGAACATCGTGAATCAAATACTTCAAGACTTGAAAAAAGATAAATATTATTCTAAGTCATAATTTGTATTAAATGAGAAATGTAATAAGCGTTACGAGATAAACTTCAGTTCTACCAGGACGTAGCTTCCCCAATATGATCCAACTCAATTCCAATAACAAAAATTTTTCTGGTTTGCGACAAAAATTAGAATTAACACTTGATGGTTAATTACTGTGAATTTAATGACTTTGGCAAACCAGAATTCTAAAGCAAACTTTGCAGTCCAATATCAAAACATTGCGACGAGTACGTGCATTTTTTCATTAATGAAAAAATTCTTATAAAAAAGTTAAGTAAAAAAACTAAGTCCAAAAGGGTAAGATATAGAATAAATTTATGAATTCCAAAAGGATGGCACAGAGAACTATTTAAATTTAAAAAACATTAAATTCTGAAAAATTAAAATGTGAAGGGAAAAAAACTATTAGGATGGTGCAATTTTATTTACAATGCGTATTCTAAATTTGCATCGTTTTTCTAACCAACATGGTAAGAAATTGCCTTAAAATCCCAAAATTGCATTGCTATCTTTCTGAAAAAAAATGGACCAGTTTCCTATTTTATTCTTCAAATACATGAAATACCAAGCACATTATATGGCTTTAACGTATTATATATCAATTTTTAAAATAAAATATGCTCGCAGTTCTGCATTAAAAATGAAATTTGACTAAGATCTAAATTATTGACTATTGAATTCTCGTTAATGGTTGAAATCTGTAAAATTAGAGAGTTAAACTTTAGGAAGCTGTCACATATAAAACTGCAACTATTGATTTACAACATACGTTATTGATTGGTTATTTTTTTTAAATAAAATAGATAATTTCGTACATTAAACAGTACAAAAAATACAAATAACATTGTAAATAAAATTTAATAATGGAAATTTTAGTTTTGAACATCTCAAAGTAGTATTTTTGTATAAGAAAAGATGAAAATTTATTTATATTGATTGCAAATTTTGCACTACCATTATACAAATTGATTAACTATTGCTTAATGCATGAGAATATTAGGTTTTAAGAAATTTGATTAATTATCGATATTTTAAGATACAAATCTTTAGGTAAAATTTTTTATACAGGCATACAGTGGAACGAAAGTTATTTTCGGTCAAAAATTGGATTTTCAAGATTGATATTTTCAAGAGTTACTTTAAGTATCTATTTGTTGCAGTAAAATGTCCAAGGACTATGATAGTGAACTTTAGGTGTTAAATAACAAGTTCAATAAAATTCTGATAAAGTTAAACTAAAAAGATATTGGAAAATAGAGCTATGTTTTTCAGAATAAAATAACCGTTAACAATAGATATTTATGTGAAAATTAAATCTAAAAATTGTATTAATAACCTCTTTCATACTTAAATAAATTTTTTTTTAATATATTTTACGAATTATGTAATTATTGGCATATTTCTATATTATAAACTCAAATTTTATCTTTTGTAAGGATTTACTTACTAAAGGTATATCTTAGGTATTTTTATTTTTTGTACACAAAAAGGTAGAATGAATGAAATTTACAGATCTTTGACCCATGTACTTTAAGAGTAAAACAAATTAGCAGCAAATATATGGCGATTCGGTTAAAGTATCAATTTTCATAATCACACAGATTTATTTTTTAATACTTTATATTTCATACAAATGACTACAATATGAATAAAATGTTTCAGTCTTTTATTTCTCTATTAAAAGGTCATTAATTTAAAATTAATTTTTAACTTTCATATAAATATTCATCGTTAATGTTTACTTTATTCATATAAATATAACTCACTTTCCAATACTATTTTAGGTAAGCTTTATCTGAGTTTTATTGCATTAAAATTTAACAGCAAAGTGAAATTCATTATCATAGTCTTTGGACACCTTACAAAAAAGAAAACGCTTGAAAATAATTAATTTTTGCTTTTGACGGCTGAAATCTATTTACATTTCACAGTAAGGCATAATTTGCTCAGAAAACTAGAAGAGTAGTTTAACTTATTTTATAAACCAAATCAATCCTATTGGAGTTACTAATATTCAAACTATTTATAAAATGGTTGAAAAGAGCATTATATAAGTGCAAATTAACTCACCAAATGATAAAAATAAATCAACATCCAAGAGATCAAGGGTTGTATGGAATAATTGAAAAATTTTGATTATAAAACTTTTAAACTTTCAAACAAATCAGTTCACTTCACTGCATGTATGTTACTTTTCCAATTTATGTTCAGGGTTCTTCCACTAAGCGTTTTAATCAAGTAGTGGGTTTGATTCTCAGTGTAATCCTAGGTATATCCTCTTTTCGTCAGTTTCTATAATTTATATTTTTAGTCCTTTCTTTTGACAAGGGCCTATAAATCCTTACTATTATTGAGAACACAAGTCTGTAGATTTATGTATGTGGGAATAAATAACTAAATAATCTACATTCTTGGTTATGATAGGATATTGCTCCAGGAAACATTTTGTGGTAATAGGACTTTTAATGTTTTTGAAGTATGGCTGTCCCACCAAATGTTCAGAGGGGTCATTATTGCGGTTTCGTTAACCTGTAAGATTCTTTCATTTCATATATAGAATGTATTTCCGTAAATTGCCTGTCTGTCTTTCAATTTGACGTTGACTTGTAATCCTCATTTTGTTTATTTATTGCTACAGCACAAATTTGTAGGCTTGTGTGCTCAATTAAGACTTATAAACCTTTATTAAATAGAAGGACAGAGAGCACAATGCAGTGAAGGACAGCACGAATACCCATCCAGGGTAACAGCGGGATTCGAACCCGCTACCTCCACGCTTTCAATAGCGTTTGGCGGACAATACCTCTCGGCCAGGGAGGTTTCCGCCTCCTTTTGTATTGAGTACAGAAGTACTCAATTCAATGTAGGAGAAGTAAAGTTTGTCCTACTTCAATAAAGCGATTATATGATATTGGGTTGTCCCGTGCAGGACCTGTCCTTTTGCCGAAAACCAACACGAACTTTCCGGACTATCCGGACTCCGCCAAACATTTTGAATCTCGTTTGAACGCTGGATTTTCTAATCTGCAAAACATATCGCTGGTTCAAAACTAAAACGACACTTCTGCACTCACTTCTCACGTTATTTCAATGAGAGGTGAATGCAGAAGTGTCGTCTTAGTTTTGAACCAGCGATATATTGAATTCACAGGCTTGTATATTTATGTAAATATATGCATATAAATAACTCACTTTCTAAACATATCTTCTCATCAAAATTGTTCTACTTTTACTGAAAAAGCTTTTTATGGCAAAGGCTGTTGTGGGAGTATAAGCTAAAACCTAAATGATTAAACGAAGTTCAGGCACGTCTGAAAATTTATGTACGAACAAAGGAAGAATATTGAAAGAAATAATTTAAGTCCAGAACTGCGAAAAGGAAGGTTGCAGGTTTGTGTTCATAATTCACAATTTTATAGCTGGATTCATTGCAAAATAGTAGAGAAGACAGCAGGTTCGAATCCAATAGTTACTCTAGGTTTGTTTAAATTTCTCCACACACAGTTATTTGTACTTCCTGTCTGTTGTTCGTAAGAGAAAAGTTTTTCAAGTGCCCCAGCTATAACAACCTCACTGAAGTTTGCAAATTATTAACATAATTTACAAATTTAATATATGGCACAGAAATACATACCACACAATAGACCAGTAGTACCCAACCTTTTTATCACCACGGACCTGTCAACGTTTGATAATTTTTCCGCAGCCCAATGGGGGGGGGGCGTTGATTGTTTATATTTCAGATTATTTTGATGCATTAATTTTAATTTAATTGTACTTAAACATGCCTTCAAAATAAAATACAGTTACACCAAAAAATAAAGATAAAGTGATTTAACATTTTAATTTACTAGAACGTTAAATCAATGAGAACCCTGAGCTTGTTTCTTTGCAATGAGACGGTTCCATCTGGGGGTAATCGGAGACAATGATACATTACGAACATTAAAAAATTTATGTCATTACTTTCAGGGGTCTTCTTTTTTAAATAAATAAAATTTTAATGGAACACAGATATCTTTAATTTGGGATATAAACCTAGGAATTTAAATTCAGTTTCAATGAAATGGGCGGCTCAGTACCATTTGATCCACGGACCGGTACCGGTCCGTGGACCCGGGGTTGGGGAGCACTGCAATAGATGATAGGTTCAACATCTGAGAAGAAAGTCTGTGCTTGCAAGCCAATAACCTCCTAGTAGCGGTCTCTTAATTCAGGAGCTAGTAATGTATGGTGAACACAAAGCTCTCGAGTTATTAAATATTTATTGCTACGCATAAATATGCAGGCTTGAGTTCTCTAAACAAATAAGGCTTATAAAACCTTGTCAATTTTAGGAACAGATAGTACAAGTTAGAGACAGATATTGCAAAGATACATACCAATGCATAAATATTGTTGTGCTACGGTGGGATTATAACACGCTACTCAACACTACAGAGCGTTTGGTGGCAAGAAGAGACTGTGTGGCTAGGGAGGCTCCTCCTTAATACAGGCACCTCACCATTAATAAACTTTCTGATCTTCAAATAATAATCCCAATAGCCTATTGTGCAGCTTTATTTCGACGTAAATAAAGAGCTACAACTCAAATAATACCCAAGCTTTTTAGCATTATTGCATGCACTGGTTCAATTTTATTTGGACATAAGGAGAAGACTATTAAGGACGCTTTCATATATGGACTTATTATATAGTAATGCATATTATTATGTATTATTATTATATTTTATATACGTCATACATAATTTTATTTACGTCACACTATAACTGCGCAATAAGCTATTGGCGACGGACTGAAAAACATCCATGATGATGATCCGAAGACATGCCATAACGATTTTGATCCTCTGCAAAGGGATGGCTCCTTCGCTTTGGTAGTCCGACGACCTGCGTGCGAAGTCGAGCTCCTTAAAGTGGAGCAGTTTAACTGGGACCGGTACCGCACATCCTTGGTCCCTACGCTGGTTGATCAAAGAGGTCACTCACCAGCTTACTGACCGCAGCCAGAGATGCTTGGCTTTGGCGCTCTACTGAGAATCGTGTCCTTACGATCGGTCCACTGAGGGAGGAAATGCTACTTTCATGGAATAACATTAATTTTCTTATTCACATAGGTATACATATCATAAACCTTCGTCAAATTGAAGAACAGAACAGAAATTAGAGAAGGAATACACAAAGATGCAGTCAGGACTCCCTGAGGAAAATTTGCCATAGAGAAGCCTATGGTAATCTATGGCAACCTATGGCAACCATGGAAATTTATATGGCAAGATACCATACGCCTATGGTTACCATAGAGATTTGTATGGCAAAACCCCCAAATCCTATGGCTACCATAGAAATTTGTATGGCAAGATAACATAGGCCAATGGTAATCATGAAGATTTCTATGGCAGTATACCATAGGCCAATGGCCATAAGGATTTATGGCCATAAGGCCATAAGGATTTGTATGGCACATCACCATTGGCCTATGGCAACCATAGAAATTCGTATGGCAGTATACCATAGGCCAATGGTAACCATAAAGATTTGTATGGCAGTATACCATAGAGAAAAGCTGATCTAGATCCCCACCAACAAAACAACAACTTCTATGGAGTCATCAAAAACATCTTCTAAAAGAAATAAATATCCATTTTTTCACCCCGAAGTTAATTAAATTCAACATGTAATCCCACAAGGCATTCCTGGTGAGTCTTTTCCGGCCTCTGGGTGGCCAATTTTCCTATTTTTAAGTGTTTGAAATCCGATGTTCCATTCTTTTAGGCTTAGAGTATCGGACCGCCATATAGTATCGGACACTTTGGCGACTTATTTTAATATTTTTTCGATCTCATTCTTGATCAAAAACATTTTATTACAAACGCCTATGCGATTATCTATCTGAATTTATTAAGTTTTTAATTTTCGGCTGTCTGGTACTTTTATTATTTGTATCTTTTTAAAATATGACGCGGTTGGGTATAGGTTTTCGCTATGTTAAATTTTGCTATTTGTTAACACTGACTTTGTACACTTTAATTAATATCTTGCTGTTTATATTTTTATCTAAAATTTTTATATTCTTTCTCCCAACTGTTTCTGATTAAACTACATCTTTCTTTTTATTTTATCCCCTCCCTCTGATTTTATATAAATTTTTAAAGTCACATCACTTTTCCATTATTAATGGTGTTCTATTCCCCATAGCAATTTCATGATGAAAAACGCAGTTAAGTGCTTATGATCAAGCCATGTCATCATTTATTTAATAATTAAAATTTTTTAATTCTTTTAACTTGTTCGGTGATAATTTCATTTTATTGCTGTCGTATATCAATATCAAAGTCAGTGTTTACATTCTCGTTAGTTTCTGATTTTAATTCCACTTAGGTTCTTGCAATGCTTTTTTACATTATCTTACATACGTTAGGGCTTTATATTTTTATTTTGTGTTTAATTTTTGCTTGCCATTAAATTGTTTTTTTTTATCATGTCTCTGTGTTTTACTATCTCACAACTAATATTTTTTAACTATCAGCATATATTTGTACAATGTTCTGTTACATATTTATACATAGCTTAGGGTCATCACTTAACTAGATTTGCTGGATTACTGGTTGACAATTATTTTGCTTCAATATCATCAACGGGACAGTCCCTGGCCAAATCATCTGCTGCTGTTACCAAAAATGCTTTTAACAATTTAATCTTTCCTTAAGTTTACAACTTTTTCGTTATAGCGATGCCCTATACCCAATTAATTTTTATTTACTATCCCTGACCAATTGTCAATAGCAATTATTAATTTTACCAATTTTAATCATGTCTTAAACATGTTTTGCATTTTCCAATGTTTCTATATTGCGTTCTCTTCTCTAATTGTGCTTAACACAACTCAACATGAATTTTCTGAGTTTTATATCCCTCACTAGTAGGGGATCAACTAATTTAGCCTGTTTTCCATTCTTAGCTTTTCATATTCTAATACCATCTTTTTTATAAATAAAATTTTGTTCACATGCCACCACTGGTTACACCATTACATATTCGGCTTTTGTCCCGTTTGGTCTATTTCAAACTAATTCTGCTTCGACCACCGGCCCCACTCTTTATCTTTCGAGTTTTCATAGTATTTTATTGTTTTAGTAGTCTGTTTAATTTTTAGCTTAGTATCACATATCAAAATTTAAAAACATTTCATACTCGCTCCGACCATCGGACCATTATTTTACTTCACTTTCTTTTAGGTTCCTCTAATATCGGA